GAACGGCAGACTTTGCTCAGTCAGCCCACGTCCCTGTCTTGCGAGGGGAAGCCATTGTAGGACGTAGAGGAGAGAACCGCAAGTCCTGGAGCAACTGAGATGGGAGAGAGAAACTCCCCACAGTCAATCTTCTCCCTCTGCTCTTCCTCTACTCCTAAAAATGCATCAGGCTTGGCCTGCTGCCTGGTAACGTGTAGCTGGAAACTATACATACTAAAAGTCAAAGAAAATGAATTAAAAACACACATCAGTGAGTATAGAACCTATTTAGGAAAAATGCAAGAGCAGAATGACTACGCAGTCCAAGGAAGGACTGGTTACCACATGGGAAAATAATGTTTCTGTGGGAAGCAATTAGCTAGGATACTGAGAGTGAATGGAAGCTTAAGTTGTCTGTCTGACGCTTATTCAGAGATCCTCTCTGAGCCGATAGGCAGGGATGTAAACTCGTCATGTTCTTCACGATCCCAGCTGAGAAGCTCCTGGGTTTTCTGACATGGAACAGTTTGTAAAACACTATAAAACATCTGATCCATAACCTCGCCTTGACATACTGACAGAGATGGAAATGATAGGATTTTATTTGTTTTTTTATAAATAAGGAAATAGAAATGGACACAAAACACTTTGACAAACATTTTTAGAAGAAATGTTTGCATCCCTGCATATCCCCCCTGCCCACCCAGTGTCCCAGAATACACCACAACGACTGCCACCCTCCTGAACTCTGCAGGTCCAGTTTGCAGCCTTTGAATCTGCGGGAGCCTTGTCGCTCCCTTCTGGACTCTCTCTGTTTTGCCGACAGATCCTCCCAGAACGTGCCTTCGCCATGGTCTGGTTTGTGTTTGTTTCTCTGTTTTGTAGATTTGTGTTCTGTTTGCTGTGTTTGTGTTGAAGAGAAAGCCTCATGCAAAGTGTGAGGTGATCTCAGGGACTACAGCGGACGGGATTTGTGTGTGTGTTTGTGAAATGTACAGATTATGTAAATGTCATGTTTTGTCACAAGAGGAAGCCGCGTGGGACAGCAGGAAGAGTTGCGTCCTGGTCAGGAAAAGCCACTATGGGTTGAATTTTTGCACTGGAGGCGTTGGAGGAAGAGCATCTGTACATGAGCAGAATATGAGCGTGGTTACGCCGCCTGTGGCTGAAGCAGCGTGAAGATTTCTGATGATGGCTTCGCCTCCATCCGCCTGCTGTCATTTTACTGTAAGTGTTGACAGAAAGAGGAAAGAGGATGTGTTTAGGACGGGTTAGAGAGTTTCTGCTGGATACATCCAGCCTCAGAAAAGAGCTGATTTTATTCTATGCATGTGGTTTTAAAGAGAGCCTAGTTTTTAACCTGAGTTTTGAAATCTGACACAGCTGGGAAAATGAGTGCATTTTGGGAGAGCGTCGGCTATATTCCAGACGCACCCGGTGAAGAAAACGCGACATGATGCAGCAAACTTTGGGAGGTTTTAAATTAGTCTTTCTAACTTTATGAAACATTCCAGCGGGATTTTAACCTAAAGATTGAACTATAAAGATGTTTTCAGGACTCCACATTCTATCTTTTTAAGTACTGTACTAGATGGCATCCATTTGCAGTACTATCAGTTGGATAAAGGGTAACTCCACCTGGTTAACCAAGTTTTTTCTGCTCTACTGAGGGAAAATAGAGGGAAATATTTAAAGCATTGGAGCCATGATGTGTAACCAAGTGGGCAAAAGGCCTGAGCTGACGGTCTATAAAAAGGTGGAAGAGGAATATTTATTGTCTTGGGACACTTTAGCCTTCTGTTACTACCGCAGCCCACTATGTTCCTGTTTTACCTGATGAAGAAAGATGGAGTTATGTTTATGGACGTGTAGTCTGTCCACATTGTGCTGGTCCGATGTTTATATACACTCTTCATCAACATGATTGTCGTATTTGTTCTGGACTTATAATTAAGCATAGGGCTTTACCCAACGCAGAAGAAAAGTGTAGTAGCACGCTTTGTTCTTCGTCTTTGCAGCCATACTTTTTGTTTCTTTCGTCTCCAGCTTTGACCCGCCCACGGGTTATGTCATGGTTTGTGCAGAAAAACCAAGTATTCTTCGGTGCCCGAGTTAAACCTTGGTTCATGCTCCAGGAAAAGATGAAGCAGGCTAATAATAAGCCGAGTCCATCTCAAATAATCAGCCAACAGGTTCTGAACTCTACGGTTCATTGTCAGCTTGTTGATTGATAAAAGAAATGCGTCTCAGTTGCAACAAAATAGACAAATTTTCATTTGTGCTCCCAGTCCTTTTAAAATTCATGCTTGTAGTTATTTATTACATTATCATTTAACCATGGAAAAACAATAGGTAAATGCATAATAAAAATCCCAAATTAAAATGAGCTTCACGCTGATGAATAATGTATATAACGTTGTGACAAGCACCGTATACAGAGGACTCTATAAAGATCTCTAACATGGATGATGTAAAGATGTTTGGTCATTAAATTATGGGTAATACTCTTATTCGTGTTAAACCCTCTCCTCGTGTCTGAGGAAACCAGTGGGAGTTCATCTATTTTATACTGTGTATTCTTTATTTGAGAGGTAAGCGTTGCTTGTACACAGTCTTTTATCGCACAGGAGCTGAATGATTATTGCACAAATTATTTAAGGGAAATTGCTGCTATGAGCGTTGTAAATATACTTGTTAATGAATCGATTGATTTTTTTTCTCTCCATCTCTTGCTGTGTGGATTTTAATTGTTTTTAAAAAGCTAAAGGGTGGTGCAGACAGGTTGGGTGGTCAATATTCTTTAGGTGATATTGAGGCACTTTATCCTGTGAGCAGGGAGGAGGAGGTGGTAGGAACAGACACATCTGTGTTCTTAAAAGAAATGAGACAGTTTAATGTTGAAATTGCAATAACTTTGAAATAAATATAAGGTGTGACAACAGTATCTCACTAGAAAAATTAGTTTATGTGAGCGTTTTAGGCATGGGCCGGTCACTGTTATCTGCATACATAAAAGGTTTTGAACGGTTACGGTTTCAAAGCCACTAAAATTTCCATCATTGTGTTTCTGTGCTTTCAAGACATTTAAGTGAGATACCAGAAAGTGCAGCATTGGCTGGAGTTTTCTTCAGCTTTTTTGTTGTTGTGTGTAAAGTTGATCAGCAGGTTTTAAAGTGCTTTGTAGTTTGGAGGATTTTACTTTTTTCTGGCTTTCTTGTTCTAAACTGGTGGTAATGAAGGAAAGCAGTAAGTTTTCTGGTGTGTGTGTGTGTGTGTGTGTGAGCGAATGTTGTGTAGATCCGCTCTGAGTCAGATGGAAAACGATCACCAGCTGCTTCCTGTGAGGTCGCTGGACCTTTCTTTTCTAGTCCAGGCTCAGAAGCGGTAAATATGGGGAGGGGGCTGAGATCACTTCAGACTTCTGGTTGTTCCTTTATGTTGCTGTGCCTCAGAAACCAGGTTTCTTTCACACACCTTTTTATATCTACTACACTTTGCACAGAGGGGATAGAAGTGCTTGGATGAAGACACACCTGTTTGGGATTTTTTTCCATTTTTATTTGTTATATGTTTATGTTCTTGAGCTACAAGCTCGTCTGTTCTTCATTTACTTTCTTTTTAAACGATTTGAAGTAAAAACAAGAAGAAAAAACCAAACACGCTACACTGCAAGTTCTTATTTTATGTAAAAGCAGAGCTAAGCTCAGCTATGTTGGTCCCAGCAAACACTCTTCTGTATAAATCTGTACACGTTTTGTAGGATCCCAAAGGATGGATGAAATCTAACTCTCACCTCCGGTGGGCTGAGCAACCCACATCATCTTCAGAGAACAATAAAATTGGTGCCAAGCCAGCATTGTTATTTATGGATCTGTATCAGCCATTAGAGGCACTTTACATTCTCTTTTTATTCCTAATTAGATCTTACATATGAGCCTTCAGACCCTCGCACTGTTTGCTTTTTTTTATTGTGGTGGTCCGAGTGCTTCGTCTCCAGTCTCTAGCATCCCCGTCTTTCATGTGGCCTTCAGCCGGGATGCAGAGGTAAAGGTGCAGTTTATCATGTTAAACTGGTTTCCTGCTGCACAGAAACGTATTTCTGTTGGTCTCAGGAGCTGTCAGGTTTATCACTGCCTGTTCCCTCAGAAGGAATGCCTAAATTCGCCCCCTAGTGGCCGCCAGAAAACCTCAGCCAGAAGGGGCTTGTCTTCCATGCAGGGGATTTTAGTTACAACCAGAAAATCGGGAGTCTCAACCATCCAGGATCATATCGGATAAATTGAAGTTTCAGGAATTTCCATTTGGCTAAAACAAATTTGGAAATGTTCCACCTTTGAACTACCTCAATCCTTGCTCCAGTCATCTGGATTGTTCTGCTTCCTTCTTCACTGAGACTTTTCTCCTGCTGAGTACCTGCTCCAGTGTGTTCTCCAACACCAAAAAGAACCACACAAACCAGCAATACATGGCTGTCAGGTGATGCCACACAGCCTAGTTACAGGTGCAGCATCCAACCATTTCAACAAATTTCAGATCCATCTCCTGTTTGCTTTTTAACAGCAGCTGGTATCAATGCTCCTCCCTCATATTAGTAACTATACTTATTTGGATGAACTTTGATGCTCAACCATTTGTTTTTAATGCGGCCTTTGGCCCGGTCAACGGTATTACTATATCATTGTAAGTAATCGTTATCAGTCACTGCTGCTGTTGATTCTGTGGAGCAGGTGTGTCTGTCTGCATCATTTCTGTGCTTGTTCTCTGGATGTATGTGTACATATGTGCATATTAAGACTTATAAAGGAGAGAAATCTGAGCACAAGTTTGGGTTTTGATTAATTTAATTGTTTTATGTAATAATTTTATGCTGAATCCAAAGAATAAACGTGTATTATATTACATTAACTTTCATTTTTAATCATCTGAACAGTAAATAGATTAAGGAGAATAAAAAACACTATGTTAAGAGGATTTTCTTGTTTTTTCTGTAATGCCTTTACAATTGGTTTTTCTGTTCTTACTGCACGGTGGCGCAGTTGGTAGCACTGTTGCCTTGCAGCAAGAAGCTCCTGGGTTCAATTCCCAGCCTGGGGTCTTTCTGCATGGAGTTTGCATGTTCTCCTCACCGGGTACTCCGGCTTCCTCCCACAGTCCAAAGACATGCCTGTTAGGTTAATTGGTCAATCTAAATTGCCCTGAGGTGTATGAATGAGTGTGTGCGTGGTTGTTTGTGTGTTGCCCTGCGATGGACTGGCGACCTGTCCAGGGTGTACCCTGCCTCTTGCCCACAGACTGCTGGAGATAGGCACCAGCTCCCCCGTGACCCACTATGGAATAAGCGGTAGAAAATGACACTGACTTTAAAAAACAAAATAGCTTGAATTTAATTTCTGACGATTACTGACACCTGCTGGTCAATAAGTAGAAGTACCAGGGGTCAAAAAGCATGTTTAAAGGAATCCTGCCAAGGTAGAAAAAGCATCTCTGAAGAAACACATGTGAAACCTGGCCTTAAATAATAGAAACAATTCATTCTTTTTAATTAGTAAATGTTAACTTTAAAGTAACTTGATACTACAGCTAATACTACTTTCAGATATTAAGTGGCTGATGGAAATGCCTGCTGCTCTACAACAATGCCCTGTCCTGAAGTTTCAACCCTTACTGCTTGAATTTAAATCACACACTAAAACACTTACTTTTCTAGTCTCAACTATATGAATTACTTTATTGATCCTGGCATTACTTTAACAGGGCTTTTAAACTGGATAACAACATATTGCTGCTCCACCTCAACTGGATGAGTAGTCATCTTGCAATCGGAAAGTTGTAGGTTAAATTCCAGCTCTCCGCCACCCGTTGATGTGCAGGGCAACTTAACTAAGAGTTGCCTTCTGATCTGCATTTTAGTGTAGGAACGTGTGCATGTTTGTGAATGCAGCTGGGTGGATGTGGCTCTAGGAGAAAAGCACTTCAAATAACTAGATATTTGCATAGAAGTTCAGTATATTTACCATTTGTCACAGTAGACAAATCACAAGCAGCTGTTGTTCACACTCGGATTGCTAGATGGCAGCAATGTGTTTCCAATGTGATCCTATCTGTCTGGAATATGTCATCTGGAACCTCGGCTGCAGGAATGAAGACTGAGGTAAAGATTCACCTTCCAGCAGGATAAACCCAGACACAGCCAGAGCTACAATGGGAATGGTCTAGGTCAAAAAAATTGTGTTAAAATGGCCCAGTCAAAGTCCAGACCAGAGTCTTGTTCACAGATGGTCTATAGCTACATACTAAATAAGAAACAGTGACACAGCACATAGAGTCTGATCAGCTTTTATTCCCTTGTAAATAGAATATTGATAAAAACACACCTTAAAAATAACAAATCAAGGTTTATCGAACAGATGAAAAAGTAACAAAAGGCATATGTAGAAAATCTACATAGCAATTACACAACAGTCTACTTGTCCAAAAAAGGCACTAAATCTTGAAACAGAAATGAAGGAGTTGATTTAAAAAACAAGAACTGATCCAACATCCATCCAGTTGAGGTTTGTTTTACAGAGATTTATTGAAGAGTTTATTGCCAGAATGATGGACCAACCATCATTTTTAGACTGCTAGAAAAGGTGTTGGTTTTAAAGTAGCGTTTCCAGTCCCTGGCCGATGAGAATATTAAGGCTGGAGAGTACACAGTAAATGGCAACTGCATGAAAGATATACAAAACAGTTTCATCTAAGCAATAATCAGAAATACACATGATTGAAGGCAGGCGTTAAACTGCATTCAGACAAATGAGACTCGACACACAGATACAAATCAGACAGACCTGGAAGAGCGAAACTTCTGTGGTACTGGGTTTTTTTTTTTTTTCACAATATCTGCGAGTGACAACATCACATGTTCTGGCACAAAAAGAGGTAATCAGGACACAAACAGAACCTAAATTAACAGGACAAGAACAACAGAAGAGATCAAGGCTGCAGGTGTGAAACTGGAGGAGAGGGGAAGGTTTAGCTTATTTCAAATACTGGCAAATAAATCAGTGATTTGTCCTCATGTGTCCTGAATGAATGACTCCTGACAACATGATTTCATATTCCTGTGGCCCACTTGTTTTTAACATAATGAGCAAAAAAAAAAAAAAGAGGAAAGATCTGATTTTAAAATACATTTATTTAGATCCCTTTTGCGCAGTCCTCTCCTCTTCCTCTGCAATGTTCGTTTTAAATAATTTCAAAATGGCAACACCAGACCCAGTAAATCTACCACGAAGGCAGCAGATGAAATAATTTAAACTCTGAAATAATCTCATCACAGTAGATTCTCTAAACTAACGTATAGCTCCCTTTCACAAAGGTTTCTGCTAGGCAGATTTAAAGTTTTTGGTGTAAATAATTTAAAAAGATGACAGAGCTACATAACTGATAATGCCACTGAAGCTTAAAGCAAAGACACAGACAGCTCTGCTGCCACAAAAATGGAAACATTCCATCACAAAAACACTGAAGATTCGGCTTAAAATCCCCAAATTAGGAAGGATCTGAACATTTTATGGTGAACACATGAACTTATTGAGCCTTTCTGGAGTGGAACTACCCTTTATGTCTAGCTTTTATATTCACTGAATCTAGTTTAAGAAGCAGTTTCCCTCACATCACTTATCTTTTTTTGAAGAACTTCATCACAGTTTGTTGACAGTGAGGCTGTACTCTGATCCGTTTTTTCCTTTGAGAGCCTAAAACCTGGAAGCAGCAGCGGAGGAACGGGGCGGGGGGGTGTAGCTTATAGCTGAAGGGGAGCAGCTGAGGCATCTTTGTCTAGTTTTAACTCTAAGCTAAGAAGCTAGCCTGTGCAGCACCTGCTGAAAAATAATGACCTTTTATGAATATACAGCCATTATAGAGGTCCTCATCAGTCTGAAACTTAACAGAACACCTGATGATTGCAATAGAAAATTAAGACTTGTTCAAAACTAGAAATGCACTAATTTCCAGTTTTTATTTCGGTCTGACCTGCCGATTTCAACTTGAACTGATTCTGATTTTTTTTTGTCAAAAGGCTACAACTCATAAGACAAAAATGTACTGAAGGTTCTTTGATAGAGGTCGCCATTTCGATTGAACATAAAATGAAGAAATTATAAGAGCATTCATTATTTATTTAAAGAAACGGCCTATAACCTTTATCTGATTTTTGCTAAATACAAAAAGTGCATTCAAAGCCAATGGAGGGAAAATTGGCAGGTTCCGATCTCTGCCTGATTAATCGTATCTCTAAGCAGGAGGGCTGCAACCAACGATTTTTTTGCTAATCGGAAAAATAGTCAAAAGATTAATCGATTAATAACCAGATAGCAAAAGGTGCTTAATAGGAACATTTTTTTTTACAGGATTTGAATCAGGTGAAGCTAAATGATGCCACTTGAGGAGTTCTGGATAGAGCATATTTACAAACAAAGCTTTTTCATCTTAAATGCAAATGTATATATTTTTGTACAATTCTGGTTTAATTACTGCTCTGAGTGTCTGTATACTCCAGTTATTACGATTGTTACAATTATTCCATTACTAAATTAGCTGACAATTATTTCAATAATCGATTGTTTCAGCCCCACTAAACAGAAAGAAGCATTTTTTCTCCCACGCAAACTGGTTTAGCTCCCAGTTTTTGTTATTTCTAGAATTTTTTTGGCACTAGAGGCCTTTATTTTTGATAGAAGGCAGACAGGAAGGAGGGACAAAGAGAGGGGGAGACATTCGGCAAAGGTCGCCGGGTCAGGTACTCGAACCCAGGACGGCCGCTTTGAGGACTATAGCCTCTATATGTGGTCGCGTGTTAAACCCCTACACCACCAGCGCTGCGCCCTAGCTCCCAGTTTATGAAGTTGTTCCAGGTCATGGCTTATTATTCAAGACTCTAAGTTAACATTCCAGTTATCAACTAGGGGTATATTTTTTATAACTTTTTACTGAATTATGTAAGGTGTTATGAAGCATAATTCATTGCATAATCACTTAGCATTTTGCTCTCTGTTAGCCTTTTACATCAATTGTCCTCCATCATTTTCAGGTAAAACACAACGGTTCTAAAGCTGAAAGCTGCTCCTTAGGACAGCGTATTAAACCATCCCTTGGTACACAGAGGATGATGATTATCCCCGCGGTAGCTGATATACGTTTTAAAGGTCAGGAACAATTTGGAACCCCCATAAAAATAAAAATAGGAACCAAGTAGATATCTAACCAAAAATTAGTATTCTGACTTTCATGCCTTTTTAGCTGACTGCAAAATGATGAGGACACAGCCTGCTGGGTTTTCTCTTCACTCTTACTTTGCCTGTTAGGGGCGAAATATTAAATCTATTAGTGACGAACCGTAACATTACAGAAGACACTCATTGGCAAATGCAGTCAGATGTAGAACACGTTAGTCACACGCAATCCCCACTCGCATCCAGCAGAGGGCGACCATGTGTCTTTATTGATTCTTGCTAAGAGCCATGACAGAACGGGAGTAGATTAAGCTGTTGAAGCCGACCACACCAAACTAATGCAAGAATGGCTGGTAATACTGACATGCAGGAGGTTAAAGACACAAGCGCCACCTAGAGATCAAACAGTGTCAAACCAGGAGGGTAACAGTAAAACATTTTATAGCCTATTTATTTGGATTTTTTTCACTGGGAAAATCGACTTAATTCTGTGCAAACTTTACTTTGCATGAGGTTAAGGTTGAATTATCTGAAACATTTTTGGTTTCCATTCTGAGAAAGTTGTATGCTAAATAAAACTTGTTCTACAATTGTCCTGGATGAACGTTTCTGAAATGTTTTCCCTTTCAAATGATGATTGGTGATAGTAGTGAATGTATGTTTTTACTAGCATGCCCCTTCTGGAAGAACAAGGCTGTTTGCTGCTGAACAGCATGGCACACAGAGCAGAACTAGGAGTAATACTTAATCTAACTACAGCAGTAGCTCACTCTTAGACCATCATTTAATGCTTAAGTAGTGACTTCCATTCACTTTAGGTATTCGTGATTAGTAACAGTGTTGTTCACTTCAACATCAACAAAACCATGAGCATGTTCATACACAG